ATACTGAGTCTGAGGTACTCTTTCTATCATCTACACAACCTGCCCAATCACTGTCAGTGTATCCTCTCAGTTTGAAATCTTTCACACTCCCATACCATAGTCCATAGTCAAGTGTTCCTGCTATGTACTTCAGAATTCTTTTTGCTGCTCCAAAGTGCTGCTTTGTAGGACAATGCATGTATATAGACACAACACTAACACTGAATGATATATCAGGTCTAGTATGTGTTAGATAAATCAATCCACCTATCAGGCCTCTGTACATCCTTTCATCTGCACTCTCAGTTCCATCATTCTTCTGTAACTTCTCATTTGTGTTCATAGGTGTCCGGGCTATTTCACATTTCTCCATGTGAAACCTCTGAAGTAAATCCTTGGCATACTTCTTTTGACACAAGAAAATGCCATCTTTTCCTTGTTTGATTTCCAAACCAAGGAAATACTGCAGGATCCCCAGACCAGTCATCTCAAATTCCCGCTTCATTGATCTCTTAAAACTTTCTAGCATACATTGTGAAGAGCTAAAGTAGATTATATCATCAACATAGAGACATACTATGATAAAGTCATTTGTACCTTGCTTCTTTACATACAGAGTTGGTTCATTTTCACTCCTGTTGAAGCCTTTGCTTAGAAAGAAAGAGTCAATCTTGTTGTACCATGCCCTGGGTGCCTGTTTTAGCCCATAAAGGGCTTTCTTCAGTTTGTATACCTTTCTTTCTTCCCCTTTCTTCACAAACCCTTCAGGTTGTTCAACAAACACTTCTTCCAGTATCTCACCATTAAGGTTGCTCATCAGTGAAGAGCAGAAAGTACTTACTTCCACCCAATGATTCTGTCTGCATTGGCCCACACAAGTCAGCATGTACAAGCTCTAAGCACTCGCCTGCCCTCCATGCTCTATCTTTTGGAAATGGAAGATGTGCCTGCTTCCCATATACACAGCCTTCACAAAATTCCAGAGATCCAATGCTTGGTAGCCCATGCACAAACTCCTTTGTGCTTAATAATTTGAGGCTATGAAGGTTTAGATGACCATACCTGAGATGCCACAACTTGGCATTCTCTTCTCCTCTAACCACAAGAGCCTGACTTCCACTCCCAGTCAAGTCTAAGGGAAACACTTTATTTTTTCCCATAGGTATTCTGATCAAGGTTTCCCCTGATTTCTTATCCTTGATCACACACATATTCATTTTAAATATCACTGAGTAACCACCACTCACAAGTTGCCCAACACTTAGCAAATTATGAGTTAACTCAGGGACATACTAAACATTGTGAAGAAGTTTTGTTTTACCTTGTTCAGTTTGCAATGAAATGGTTCCTAAGCCTTCTACTATGAGATGCTTTCCATCTCCCAGGCGTACAGTACTTCTTTTTGAGTCATCTAAATCCATGAAAATTCACTTTGAGCTTGTCATGTGGTTTGAACAACCACTATCAACATACCATACTTGAGAAGTGCTATTATCACAACTATGTTGGGCCAAGAACAAGTTCTCCTGTTCAGCATAGTTTGATTTTTGCTCCTGCTTTCCTTCATCCTCACTTTTCTTCCAACATACTGCTTCCTTGTGACCAGGTTTGTTACAATAGTAACACTTCAGGGGAGCTTTGGAGTTGGTTTTTGTGTACTCCTCCCTTCCAAACACATGGAGAGAGACTCTCTGAGGAGGATGATCAAAAAGAAGAAATGGCCTTTCAGGCCAAAGGTGATTCTTCCAACAATGAAAGAGCTCAGTCCAGTTCAAGGGGCAGAGGCAGAGGTCAAATGTATAGACTTCCAAGTCTTTGGACTCCTCAATAGCTGACACAACATGGCTATATTTCTTTGTAAGGCTTCTTAAAACCTTGCTCACAATCTGCTTGGACTTGACCTCTTCACCATAGGATCTCATATGCTGCACTAGAGATGTGATCCTTGAAAGATAGTCATTGATTGATTCCTTCTCCTTCATTTTAGAGTTCTCAAATTCTTTCCTTAGGGTCTGCAGCCTCATGGAGATCACCTTTTTATCTCCCGTGTATTCTTGCTTCAGAATACTCCATGCTTCTTTGGATGTAGAAGTTGCAGCAATTCTTGGAAAGACATCATCATCCAAGGCTTGTTGGATGAAGTAAAGGGCCTTTGCATCCTTCTTCCGTTTGTCCTTCAATGCTTGATCCGGCTCTTCAGGATGAGCATCCTCAAACCCATCCTCAACAATGCTCCACAATTCTTGAGATTTGAAAAGTGTTTTCATTTTCAAACTCCAAAAAAGGTAATTGATACCTTTAAACATTGGCAGCTGGGTAATAGAATTCCCACCACCATTTCCATTGTTTGCAGCCATTGTTATGTGTGTGTTTAACCTACGTTCACTCACTCTCTCACGCCCTCGGATCACCCCTTAGGCTCTGATACCAAATGTTGGATCAAGCCAAAGAAAGAAACACTCAAAAACTTGGTAAAAGATCGGGAAAGAAGATGCAAAGCTCCTACTGATCTTTTTCTATATTAAAACGTAAAATGTAGAAGGCCTTTTATAGCCAATACAAAATGAGAATAACTACCCATACTTACCACTAAGATAGTGCCTAGAAAAGTGGACTACATGACTCACACATAACCGAAATGCTAAGCTTTCTCAAATGACTAATTCAATCCTAAAACTTAGGCAACCACTTAAGAACAAATTGTATTAATAAAACAATTAGTTTAAAAACTGTTTCCACGTGTGCATGGCTGTATGCACATGTAATCTGTTTCAAGCTTGGTCACTTTTAACATATGCATCACAAGATATACGGAGTCCTAGTAAAAAGCCACTTATTTATATGTTCGGAAATTATTCCAAAATTAAGATGATGTTTTTAACAGCAAATTATAATTAGGGTTCAGCGTTTCCGTCTACTTGTATTAAACGCTGGCTTTCCATACATACATAACCCTAAATTGCCGTCTCCAGGCAAATTATATTCGATGCGAACGCTAAATATAATTTAACTTAATGAGCAGATCGACTTACTAAAAAGTTTGTGGGGATGGAATTCGTAAATGTTGCGGGTGAGGATCCTGTTGCGAGGAAGGGGTGTCCTCATAATCTTGTTCTTGAGGTAGTGGACCACCAGCTCTTCGTCCGTCGGCACGAACCGGTAACCCACAGGCAGCTCACGGAAGTATTTATCCACCACCACCCTGTCATTGGATTTGGACGCCACCATGATCGCGCTTTCACCGCCGTCCTCCGCCACATCCCTATTCATGTTGCAGTACGACATATACCAAGTACTAATTATTTATGCTCGAGATTAATTTCACACACAGCGAAAGATATATGTAGAAATCGATGATGGAAGATCACCTTAGTTAACGACTAGTACGTATTTATTACTAGTAACTAGTACGGAGTAATAATTAAATAAAGGCGAGACTAGATATATGGGAGTATATATATACATATATGTCCCGTGTCCGTATGTGTTCTAATCCTATATGGATACCTAACTAGTATCCTCTATGTCCCTCTATTTTCCCCTCTGCTAGAGTCGAAACTCCAAAGGACTAAAAAGCAAACTATCCAAAGTTGAAAATTAAACTTGTTTTTGGGCCTAATTAATATTTATTTTAATTGTTGTTAGGAAGGCCCAAGTGATAGAAAAATGTAGAAGGAATAAATTCTAGAGCTTCTCTAGAAGATATGATCTCTAGAACTCTCCTATCATTAATTGTATAGAATTGTGTAGACACTTTTGTACTAGTATAAATAGAGCTCCTCTACCACAACTTTGTATCAAACAAATCAAGCAAATTGAGTTGTTCTAATAAAAAGAGTTCTTCCCCTTTCTTCAAATATCTCTTCCATAATATTTCTAATTTAGCCTCCCAATTTCTCAAATCTCCCTTCACTTATTTCCAACAGTGGTATCAGAGCATGTTCGGTCATCACCCAAAAATGACCGGTTCTCTTCAAGTTCCTCCATTAAAAAAGGAGAATTATGATAATTGGAGCATTCGCATGAAGACAATACTTGGTTCGGAAGATGTGTGAGACATGGTAGAGGAAGGCTTCAAGGAACCCGAGGACATCAACGCCTTAAATCAAAATCAAAAGAATGTCTTGAGGAGTACTAAGAAGAAAGATCAAAAGGCGCTCTCTATCATCCATGAAGCTTTGGATGAAGTCATGTTCGCAAAGGTGGCATGTGCAACGTTAACTACAAGCAAAGAAGCTTGGAAGATATTAGAGAATTCATTCAAAGGAGTAGATAAGGTAAAGAAAGTAAAACTTCAAAGTCTTCGAGGTGAGTTTGAATCTTTAAACATGAACTCTTCGGAATCTATTGACGACTATTTCTCAAGAGTTCAAATCGTCGTGAATCAACTAAGAAGATATGGAGAAGAAATCAAAGACAATCGTGTGGTTGAAAAAATTATACGGTCTTTAGATTCAAAAATTGATTACATAGTTGTGGCAATAGAAGAATCTAAAGATCTAGAAACAATGACGGTTGATAATCTCTTGAGATCTCTTCAAGCTCATGAAGAAAAACTCAAGAAGAGAATAAAGCAAGAGCCTTTAATGTAGTTGAAACAATCACTACAACAAAACAAGCCTTCAGCAACGCTTACAAAGTGTTACATTAGATCATTATATTGTTACAAAAGGCTATTGCAACACTTTTTTGGGCGTTACTTCAGGTCTCGTTGCATAAAGTCATATGCAACACTTTTATCTTATTATGCAACACTTATTAAAAGTGTTGCATGAATGACTCAAATGCAACACTTTTTTGCAACACTTTGACGAGCATCTAACACAACACTTTTTGGAATAAAAGCAACACTTTAGGTATGACTTTAGGTAACACTTTTTAGTATATATGTAACATATTTACAATATTATCTTGCACTTTTGTAACACTATGAAAATTTTAGGCAACATTTTATTCAAAATTGGCAACAATCGGCATCTAATATGCAACACTATATTAATCATTTTGCAACATTATTTTGATAATTTGAGCTACATGTTCACATATAAAACAACATGCCTATTATACAAATTTTATACTTCGTATACAATAACAATATTTCAAGTATTAAAATACTCATAATCTGTATTGATGAAATATCCAACACATGTTATACTAGAATGAATATATTGAATACAAGCATCTCGAATAATGTATTATAAACAAAAAACTAACATTGTCCAATTTGAAAAGAAAACCAAAATATCAGAGCATACTTCTAATAGCAACTAAAAATCTTCTAATTGGCCGGAACCAAATAGGCGGATAACTTCATTTCTTCAATTCTATAATTCAAGTGAAGCTGGATCAAGATCTGGAATCAATGCAGCAAGCTTTGATAGAACCAAATTCATTTTCTGTTTCTCAATCTCACGTTCCTGGCGCATTTGTTCTATTTCAGCATTCTTTTTCTCATTTTCTTCTTCAAACTCCTTCCTCAAAGTGCTCATAATTGTATTCATATCATTTGGTGTCATTGAATCAGATTGTTCAGCCTCTTTTGCCTTAGCAATGACTTTTTTGGTAACACCTCTTCCACACATTATTGGACTACCATTTCTCTCTAGGGACATAACAACGGAATTTCCATCAATTGCACCTTCACATTTGTCTATATTTTGTGCCTCATGATCCCGCATCTCAACCTACAATATAAAACAATACACCATATAGAGAATCTTATTTGCCTCCATAGAGGAATACCAGTTTTCAAAAGGTAGATATATACAACGCATTCTAAATGTGCAGTTTATAGTATACCATAACTAAATATGCTTATATGAAGAAGAAGAAGAAGAAGAAGAAGAAGAAGAAGATCAGAGTTCAATTAAATCAGTTCTATTAACAAAGTTTTTACAACAGTAAGGGACAAAATATTCCCAGGCCTTTATGCTGGTTATTTTTACAGCAACATGGAGTTTTACAAGCCCTAAGACATCTCATTCTTGTTATTCCAGTCAAGTCATTTTTCAAGAAAACTGACATACTTGGTTTAATGATCTACGACTACAAACTGAAATACTCTATTAACATCCCCAAATAATAGATATTGTCTTCCCCATTATTGAAATCAATATAAAAAGTAATAAGTGAAACAAAGAAGCATTCCTCTTGGCAGCAGAAAAACCCTCTAACTTAAGAGAGGATAGAAACACCCTCTAACTTAAGAGAGGTTGGACAACAAAAATAAAATAGGATTAAATTTGGGACACATGGAAGTGGAGGATAAAATATGACCAAATACAAACTCCAGTACTCAATTGAGTGCTTCCAGAATAGTCGAGAACACAAACAACTTGTTATCCTCCTTAATGATCATTATAAAAATCAGGAGCACATACCTCATACAACCGTATCCTCTAAATTGAGTTTTCTGGCTAACTGCTGATTTTTTGAAAAATAAAAAAAACAGCCATACACTACAAACAGGCATAAAAAAAATAATGACATTAGCTTCAATATTATTAACTAAGCAATGCATGTATGAACTAACACAAAAAATATATATAATGATTTTGATAGCTCCAACAAATTTGAAAAAAACAATCTGTAAAACGATATCACCTCATCCGAATAAAATTTATCAGCTCTTGGAAAAACAATCTCCACAATTTAAACTATCCTTTCATCAAAATACTCCCAAACTAGTAGATAGAAATTAATGTGACAACCAACACTTACAATTTTTGAAGCGGTCTCTTCATAAGAAGTTTTATATTCACGTCCCTCGGTTCTTTTGCGTGTAACTTCATACATCGTTAACATGGGAATGTCATGACCACTTGGAAGGGTAGATTGTTGCGTTTAATTTAAAAGTATTATACACTTTTGAAGATGAACACACAATAAAGAAAATATACAAAGTCTAATATACCAATTTTGCACGAATTCTGGCATAAGACACACGGCCGGTTGTGTGGTTATCCTTTCGAAGACTTCTATTGCCCTTGTTGATAGCACATCGTTTCTAAATTGAACATTTTAGTGTATTTGTTAGTACATATGAAAGAATATTTATAATGAGTATAAATGCACACAAATGATATATATATATATATATATATAATACACCTGGTAATCTGTACACTTCCATAATTTTAAGAGTCTCCCGAAATCTCTTTCAGGGATCTCTTTTGGTCGGTTTTGCCATCTAGTCTTTTCATCTCCATAGTGTGTGCAAAGCTTTTTCTTAAACCGACACTTGTGCACCCTCCATGCTGATCCAATTGTACTCATTACCCATTTTTTGCCTTGTAAGGCAACATCATATATTTCCCATGCAGGGAGATTATAAGAAGTTAGTTCTGTGCTATCTAATATATATATATATATATATATATATATATATATATATAATAAATTAATATATAATATATATCTAATATAGTATAATATATAATAATAAATTAATACATACTAGTACATATTGCCACATCCTCTCCTTGCTTGGCATACGACACCAAGTACTGATAACAAGTGGTGCAAACTCATAGTTGTGAGCTATTGTTCCCAAGAATGATGAGAACTCATTCAATGTTTTGTCATCGGGTCCAATAGGTTGGCCAAACCTGTTTAATATGATGCATTCACGTTGTTCGCGCGTATGCACTGCATGCATCATTGTAGGACCTCTTGTTTTTTTCTTCTTTTCCATAGAATCTGTAAAATACATATCATCAACAGAAAGTGTTGTGAGCTTCTATAGAAATAGAGTACAAAATACTTACTTGATCCTTGTTGCCCTTCATCTATAGTTAAATCATTTTCGAGCTCAACCTCTTCATTTAGATCATCACCATTCTCTCCATCTTCAACATGGTCATAAGTCATGGCATCGTCATCATCTTCGCTATCTTTATCTCCATCTTAAATTTTATATGTTAGTTAGTACTTTAAACATTGAGTTATATATCTCAGTGTAGTTGTACCAGCAGAACTATAATGTCAAAGTTCTAACAAGAAATTTAATTTGGTGTCAAGCTCAAGTGCAAAAAGTTAGTTTTGGTGTGTACTCTTGAAATAAATTATTCTCTTTTTCAGCTTATAATATGCTGCATTTCTTATAGATCTTTCTGAATGCATACATAAAAAACTACAACCTTACATGTGCAGTTTATAATACACATTAACTAATTATACTTAAATAACAAGAAAAATTCATTTAAAATAACATTATTAGAATAAAAATTAGAGACACATACCTCCTGTTCGATCAAACACAGCGCTACCAAAAATCTCTTCAGCTGTCCACGCATCCATATTTGAATGCCCTTGCACTAAATTATTTATTGAACTCATTCTATCTACTTATGAAAAACCTTATATATAGCACTGTTTTGTAAGATATATAGTCCACAAAATTGTAAAAGTCTATCCAAGAAAAATTAATGTGACTTACCTTCATATTCAACATGATGGTTATTTGTTTGAAACTCAACTCCAGCCTCCAAGCGTGATGGCATCACATGTAGTGATTCTTCATTTGTTCCTTCACGTACCTTCCTTAAGAAATCAGCCAAATAAATACTGGAGTCACCTGATAGACTCTTGACATTGTTATTGTGTCCAGAATGCTTTTGAAAGCTTGTGCCAGGCTCATCTTTGTTCATTGCAGCGGCTGTATCATGAGATGTTACTTTTTTCATTAGATTATTCTGCTCCTGGGATGTGTTCCTTGACATTCCTTGAGGCTTCTTATTCCTTAAAGTGTAATCTATCAAAACAAGAGTAAATTTAGTTACTAACAAATGCTTCCACCACTCTATTTAGTTATTTTTTAAAAACTGAGAATTATTCACAATTGATTCTTAAATTATTAACCGTAAGTATAGATAGACGACTATAAGGGAAGATGGAGGCTAAATTATTAAACAACCATGTTAGCTTTTTGCAAACACCCTATTGTCATCTGATTTCCTCAATTTAAAATAAACTAGTATTCAATTTCCTCCTTTGCTAAACCTACTAATTAATAAAAAGAACTCTAAAATTATTAAATCAAGTAGTTCAAACCATTCACGGCAGAAAAAGTTTAATAGAGCTACACAAATTACATTATAAAATAATGTGACTTACCTTCATGATCAAGATGATGGTTATTGGTATGAAACTCACCTTGAGCCTCCGAGCGTGATGGCATCACTTGTAGTGATTCTTCATTTGTTCCTTCCCGTATCTTACTTAAGAAATCAGCCATACGGCTACCTGCGTCACCTGCTAGACTCTTGACTTTGTTATTGTGTCCAGATTTCTTTTGAAAGCTGGTGCTAGGATTATCTTTGTTCACAGTAGCAGCTGCATCATGAGATGTTACTTTTTTCATTGGATCAATCTGCTCTTGAGATGTATTCCTTGGCATTCCTTGAGGTTTCTTATTCCTTAAAACTCTGTGAAGTGCTAAAGGTGCAATACACTTTTGCTTTTGCTTAAAAACACACACATTAGATGTATAAACTGAACATAAAAGAAAATAGTTATGAAATGAATAAAAATTACCTTTTTCGAATGGTTTGCACCTTCTACTATTTCAAAAGAGTCGTTTTCTTCATTTGTTGGAATATAGTTAGGATCATCTTTTTTGACCTTTTGTTTTCTCTTTTTTCCATTCTCACTATCCACCAAACTTGTGAGTGATTTACAGATATTTGTAAGCTTTAGTTTGACCATTTCTTCCTTGTTCTGTCGAATTTGCTCCTGTCGTTGAATTTCATAGTCTGTCAAACGTCTTTCACAGGCAGCTGATGTTCGCTTTTTTGCTATATTTCTTGCAATGTTATCATTGCCGAATTTCTCCATCTACCCCTGAATAAGAAAGAATTATATATATTACAGTACATTACCATAGAACTTAAAGTTCAATAAGAATTGCATATCCTTATGATGAAACGATTACCATAGGACTTAAATGTAGTAAGAATCACATGTCCTTATTATGAAGACACAATCTCTATTAACTAAAGCTACACAAAGGAGCAGTACATTCCTCAAAAAACTAAAACTAAACTTTTTAATAATGTAATGCTGCAATATCAATAACCTATAAAATAATCTTATCACGTAAGTAGAACAAAAGAACAACACAAATGTTTTCTATTAAATGACAAAAAGAAGGATAAACTCTTGCAAAAATTGTTATAAGCAAATGGAAACAGAATTAAATTATTGATCTTCTTCATCACTGGCGTGCATCCAATCCCACAACGTATCATCATCATCATCCGAGTCATTCTCAACTTCATTACTGGGTTGTCCAATATTTATAGTCTCCGCATAAGCGTCGAGAATAATTGGAGCTACATCCTCTCTAGCATCATTTATTTCGTCAATTGAATTATCTGGAAAAATAAGAGCTCTACGATCCAAAGGTTCTTCCTGCCAATAGTTATTTTCAGCCTCTTCATCTATCTCCGCCTCTATGCCAAAAAAACCCCTAGGAATTTTTTCCATAACATAACATAGCTCATTATTAATAGGATCTTTCACATAAAACACTTGATGCACTTGAGATGGCATGACAAAAGGATCATTTGAAGAGCAAAACTTGGTAGAGTTAATACAAGTGAGACCAAATTCATCTTTCTCTATTTGGTATCACTCGCATAGAACAAAACAATCTTGAACTTTGACCAATAATTTAATTCAACTATATCCAATATTGCACCATAATAGACAACTTCACCAATGATTGGATTCTTGTCTTTAGAACTTGCAAAACTATTTGTTATTGCTGTTACTGTCACTCCACTGTTCTGAGTTTTGCATCTCTCATCACAACCTTTCATACAGAAATGGTAACCATTCACAAAATATTCAGTATATCTGTTTGCACTGGGACATGGGCCTTTAGCTAACCAAAATATACTGTCAGACACACAGTGATGTAAGACTTTATCCTTTAACCAAGTGCTGAATTCATGGCTATGATTATGCTCTTGTGCCCATCTACTTCGTTTTTTAGTTCTACACACCTGATCCTGATGTTCTCTATTCAAAAAAGGAGGTAAATGTTAGTAGAGTAAAAATGTGTATTGTTAAGCACAATATTGTACATCAGTTTCTTACCGCACTAAATCTTCCAGCTCTTCACTATCTGAGTTGAACAAAAGATAACGGTGTGCAAGTGCAGCAGTCTTATCATCTAAGGTGAATGCCTTCCATTTTCTTCTTTTCACCCCCACTACGGTATATCCAGCAACCTTAAATAGAGCATTCTCGGTGTTGTCATCCATGTGAGTGGTATTAGGTGCATAATGCAGCTTTCTATTCACACCGTCTTGTAAATAACGAGAACAAAACGTCAAGCATTCTTCCATCAGATACCCTTCAGCTATAGAACCTTCTGGACGACATTTATTACGCACATATGCTTTTAACTTGCATAGATATCGCTCCATAAAATACATCCATCGGTATGGCACAGGTCCACATAATCTAATCTCTCTCACCAAATGAATAGGCAAATGGATCATTATATCAAAGAAACATGGAAGAAATATTTCTTCAAGATCACACAATACTTCCTTGATTTCTAACTCCAAAAGATCAAGATCCTCACGTGAAAATACTTTACTGCATACCTTTTGAAAAAATGAACCAAGCCTAATTAAAGGTATGGAAACATGTTTAGGCAAACACCTTCTTATTGCGACTTGCAGTAAGAAGTGTAAAATAATATGAGCATCATGACTCTTATAACCTGAGACTTGAAACGTGAACACACTGTGAAATATTTGATCCACAACCATAGGGTAATTTAACTCCTTTCAGAGCAAGACAAAACAACTCTTTTTCTTCAGTGGAAAGTGAAAACCGAGCCTTTTTCAGAATAATGTGTTTGCTGTCACCAGTAAGAACAGGCTGAAGCTCTTTTTTAATGCCAAGTTCCACAAGATCAAGTCGGGCTTTTGTGTGATCTTTAGTTTTTCCGGGAATGTCTAATAATGTTCCAACTAAAGAATCACAAATATTCTTCTCTATATGCATCACATCTAGATTATGTCGACATTCATTGAATTTCCAATATGGTAATTCAAAGAATATAGACCTTTTTTTCCAAGCGCAACTACAATCTGATTTTCTCTTTTGTGACTTGCCAAAAACATTATTAAATGAGGATAAATCATCCAGAATATCTACTCCAGATAATGGCTTTGGTTCTGTCCTCTTCTCAACAGTTATTCTTGTGTTTCTCTTTGGATCATCCGCATCCAGAAATTTACGATGACCCATGTAAACAATCTTCTTACTATGCTTGAGATACATTGAATCAGTATTGTAGTTACACTCGGGGCATGCAAATTTACCTTTCGTTTTGTATCCTGGGAGCATTGAATAACCAGGAAAATCACTTACAGTCCACAATAGTGCAGCATGTAATTTAAATCCGCTATCAAGGGCTGCAAATACACATCAATATCATTCCCAGAAGAGTGTGGTCCCGGTATCAATAAAGACAACATCAAATATTCTGATCTCATAGACAATAAAGGGTGAATATTATAATTGATCAGCACTACCAGTCAGGTGCTATGAGCAATACTCATTGTACGAAACGGATTAAATCCATCACTCGCAAGCCCAAGTCTCACATTTCTACCTTCCTTTCCAAAAGTAGGATGCAACGAATCAAATTTTTGCCAAGCATCACCATCAGCAGGGTGTCTAAGCTTACCATTCTTTGGACGTTTTGTATCATGCCATGTCATTTGTTCAGCAGTTTTTGAACACATATATAACATTCTCAACCTTGGTTTTAATGGAAAATACCATAAAACCTTTGTTGGAACATTCCCTTTTTGTTTATAATTTTTGTTGTCACGCGGTTTCCATCTAGAGGTATGACACTTAGGACATGACTCTAGATTAGCATCCCCTCTCTAGTAGAGCATGCAATCATTAGAACATGCATGTATCTTTTCGTAATGAAGTCCTATGTCCTTTACCATACTCTTCGCTTCGTTAAAAGACTTCGGAAAATTTCCATCAGGAACCACTTCTTTAAAAAGAACTAATAGTTCCGAAAATGCCGTGTTGCTCAACCCATTGATTGTCTTGAAAAGTAAAAGGCGAATTGTGAACGATAGAATTGTGAAGTTTTTACATCCTGGATACAATTCCTTCTTTGCCTCCTCCAATAAATTATAATTTTTTTTTGCATCTTCGGTCATCCCTTCTTGGTTCTCATTGTCATGAATGTCTCTAAACCTATCACCTAAAAGATCTTCAATGTTGTCATATGGAGCTACATCGGACTTTTTTCAAAGGTTGCAGAATCAGTTGACATATGCCCTTCTCCATGAAAGTTCCATTTCAAATAATTTTTCACAAATCCCTTTGCTATTACATGATTCCACACCTCATCCCTACGGTACCAATATCGATTTTGACACTCTTTGCATGGGCAAAGAATTTGAACACCACGAGCGACTTTAGCAAAAGCTTTATCAAGAAAATCAGTTAAGCCATTCTTGAACTTTGGTGAAAGCCTGTGTAAATACATCCATGTTCTATCTGTCTCCATACCCTTACAATTCACTAAAATAGAGATTTTTAATGTTAAAATAGAGAAATTAAAAGGCACATAAGTTCAAATCCATATCTGCTTTCTCACAAAAAGTGATAGTTATTTTAAATTATAAAAATAAAATATTTAATACATAATTAAGCCAAAATGTGTAACAAGCACATTGTTTAATACATAATAAATCCTTAAATTGGAGGGAAGGCCACATGTGTGACAAACTACAAGGCCACAGAACCATCTGGATTCACTTACTCTGGGAATAAGGGACAAGGGATGACACAGGAGGAGCTGCTGGAAAGAACCCGGAAGGGTTTGTGTTTCAAATGCGGGGACAAATGGAACAAGGAACATGTGTGCAAAATGAAGAACTATCGGCTGACTCTCATGGAAATTCCATAAGATGCAAAGGTGGAGGACAAAACGCTAACTCTCGAGTATGAGCAAAGAAGGAATTACAACACAAAGAACCTTCAAGGTTATGAGAAATTAAAATAAACCGGAGAGTGGCGCACCAGTAGTCATTCTGTTGGATTCAGGAGCCACCCATAATTTCATATCTCACAGGCTGGTGGCTGACCTAAAAATGCCCTATACACTCACTGCAGGGTTCCAGGTGGAGATGGGAAATCGGGAGCGGATTAACAACAAAGGTAAATGTGAGAATTTGGAGATATGGATCCAAGACATAATGATCACACAAGACTATTATATCCTAGAGTTGGGAGGAACTGACATAATCCTGGGAATGGAATGGTTGGCCAGTCTTGGTAAAGTTGAAGTCAATCTCAGAAAACTTAATATCCAATGGATAGAAGTAGGAAAAAGGAAGAGTTTGCAGGGGGATCCATCTCTAAGCAGATCTATGGCATCCTGGAAGACCTTACGCAAAGTATTACAAAATCAAGGGGAAGGGTATTACCTGTACTGTGAGAACAAGAAAACTGATCACCAAACAAATCTTGATGTGGGAGAGGAGTGGGAAAGGATCCTAGCAGAATTTCCTCAGGTATTTCAGACTCCTAAGGGATTGCCCCATCACAGAAGCTGTGACCATGCCATCCAAATGACGGAGGGAGCTAAAATTCCCAACATTAGACCCTACCAGTATCCATATTATCAGAAAACTGAAATTGAAAACATTATTGTTAGGGATCTTCTAAGCACTGGGATCATCCGGCCTAGTACTAGCCCCTATAGCAGCCCCGTCCTTCTAGTGAAAAAGAAAGAAGCGGGTGGAGGTTTTGTGGGGATTACCGAGCCCTGAACAAGATCACTGTGCCACACAAGTTTCTCATTCATGATTGATGAATTATTAGATGAATTGGGGCCTGCACAGATATTTTCCGAGCTAGATTTGAAGTCGGGGTATCATCAAATAAGGATGAAGGAAGAAGACATGCACAAGACTGCCTTCCAGATGCATGAAGGTGATGATGAGTACGTTGTGATGCCATTTGGACTGACAAACGCCCCATCAACCTTCCAAGCCTTGATGAATCAGATTTTGAGGCCTTATTTGGGGAAATTTGTGCTTGTTTTTTTATGACATCCTAATCTACCGTAATAGTGGGCCAGAACACCAAGAGCATGTAAGGAAGGTATAACAAGTTTTACAAGAAAATCAGTTGGTCCTCAATTTGAAGAAGTGCAGGTTCAGCCAAAATCAACTATCCTACTTAGGGCATGTGATTTTGGGTCAAGGGGTGAAGGTTGATCCTAGAAAAATTCAGGATATGCTAGATTGGCCAATACCTAAAAGTTTGAAAAGTTTGAGGGGTTTTTTGGGTTTAACAGTGTATTAAAGGAAATTTGTCAAAGTATATAGCAAAATAGCTACCCCTTTGACCCAGATGCTAAAAAAGGAGGGGTTCAACTAAGTTAACGGCTGAGAGGAATAACATATTGGTGGAACTAAAGAAGAATATAATATGTTCTGTACTCTAGTACATTTTTAGGTCACTGGGACAGATCGTTTAACCTAATATACTCCTATATGTTCTGTACTCTAGTACATATTCAGGTCACTATGACAGATCGTTTACTTTCTTACTTCTACCCTGTAAACACCAACATGACCAACCTCAAACACAACACATAAAGACAGAAATCAAGACTCAGAAATGCCCAAAGGATTGTTGGCACAATTCACAGTACCTGATAACTGTAAACGTTTTGTACTAGTATTGCCATCATTAACTAATGAAGTCTCAAGTTGCATGGAAATGCTTCAAACTAATTATTTTTATATCAAGGGTAGTATCAGGCAAAGTATCAATTATTGTGGCATAGACAACTAACGGGGTGAATTGTCTCGACTTCTGTTATCGGCGCCTTCTAAGCAACAAAGTCTAGTGACTAGTGAGTCTCCACTAATAAGCTGATTAAGTCTTTCATGGCAGCTTTCAAAGCATTCAATGACATGGAGTACAAAATTGAACATTTAAGTCAAAAGTGTCAAAAATGACATGGCGTTTTGTGGTTTGATAGTAACACTTGATAAGATCTATTTTTTTAATCGAATAACTTTTGAAGTAAAAGCTTAACAATCTGATTTCATTATCATGATATGTTTGGAGTTCAAAAAAGGTAAATGAAGTAGCTAAAACTATTCACAACAGAATAAATCAAATTAATCCATGTTGGAATAAAACACAAAAAGCACCAAATATGAACACAGCTACACAAATTAAATTAATACAGAGTGCAAGAAATTTCCATATTCATTTGAATTGAATCTGAACAAATTGAAAAAATAAACATTAAAGGAACATTGAGAAAGATTTAAGAAAACCCCAATATCAAACAAAAGATTGAACGAACTAACCTGAATAAGAGATGGAAACCTGGGAACTACGGAAAGAATGAGAATATTTTCTGGGAAGAGAAAAAAATAACTTTGAATTAACGATAGAAATTTGATAAAAGGATTGATAATAAGCAGTTGGGGTAGATTTCGATTCCTACTTTGAATTAACCCAATTGATAATTACCTTACCTGCATAGTTAGCAATCCAAAACTTCTGCCTAGATTTAACCTAATTCTACCGTGAAAGAATGAGAGTAAATCAAATCATACCTTATGTTTTATGTTGGGATATTGACCTAGAGGCCCAATACCCGGATCAAGAAGGCCCAAGATACCCGGCCCAAGCAACGGGCCCATCACTCTATGATGAGTAGATCCGCTGAAGAATTCATGCCGAACGAGATTCGGCCCAAATAAAGGTTGGTCCAGTAAGAAGACATACCGAACGGAGTTCGGGCTATATATCATACTTGGGCCAATTTGACAGCGTCTTCAGCATAGTCCAACATCCCGTTCGAGCAACGGACAACCGGCAAGTGGCCAGGTGCAATTAATGTCGGATTGTGACATCAGCAAGTGGAAACATGGGTGACCAAGTCGGTGGAACAACAGCCAATCAGTACAGGGCAGCCCATGCTCTCCATTAGTATAAATAGAAGGTTTAAAATCATTGTAAAGGTTAGCATTTCAATACTCAGGCTCTAGAATAGCATCATTGCTCTTATTTCTTGTATTAAAGCATTGTTTCCGACCTACCGATCGGGAAATTCCTTGTAATCAGACTGGTTAGTTAATACAAGCGAGCTTTCGAGTATTAGTGAGTTCATATCTTATATTTTTTATACACTTTGATTCTGTACCATTCCTGATATATCCAAAGTTCGTGTTGGGCTTTCGGATCTACGAGATTTACCCTCAACATTGGCGCCGTCTGTGGGAAACTTACAAAAAGTTTCACATTCAAATCATCCAAAAAACCACTATTTTCAAAAATGGTCAGAATCAGTTCCTATCATACAAACGACGGTTCACGCCGTCACGGAAGGAGTCACACTCCGGGGAGTCAAAACCCTCAGGGACAATCCAGCCAAGCATCGTATCCTCGTTTTGATGGGGACTTTGTGATTCCCGAATCTCTGAGAAGAAATCCTCAGGCCATGCGAGATATGGCCCAGGTCATGCAGCATATGGCGAACGAGGAGGAAGGAGGGTCCAACTTTACAGGGGAGACTCCACGCACAGAAACAACCACAGCGTCATCCCGTTCGCATGCCCATCGGGATAATCGCCGTAGCGCCCCACCAACAGCGCATCATAGTCCCAGCGACTGAACCCCGATCGGATCACAAGCTAGGGGACCAACTCCCACTGGTCATCATTTCCAGTATGCCGAGCGGGATAATACCAGGGCCGCTCAACGGCATTGGGACCGGGACTATATGAACATGAGGGCTCCACCACCGCCCCCTTTGACGGCCCAGGAGGAAGAAATGGCCGAGATGAGGAGGCAGATGAACGAGATGCGGTATCAGATGAACAGGGTGCCTGTACAACCTGCCCCAGTTCAGCTGGGAATTACTTGCCCTTTCACCAGGGAACTCATGTACGCAGACATCCAGGGGGGTGCCAAGCCACCGACCAGCCAAATCTATGACGGGGTGGGAGATCCCCATGTGCATTTGAGGAGTTACCAAGGGGGACTCATGCTGCTAGGAGCACCCGAGGCTGCTATTTGCCGGTTGTTTTTTAGTACGCTCAGAGGGCCCGCCCAGGAATGGTTCGGGACACTCCAACCTGGTTCAATCAACAGTTTCGCCGAATTATCGGCGTTATTCTTGGCCCAGTTTGCTTCCAATGCCAATCCCAAACGGCACTTCAGCTATTTGACCAGCGTGAAGCAGAACGTCAAAGAGACCCTCAATCAATTCCTGAAAAGATGGAGGGATGAAACTCTGATAGTGGGGAACATGACGGATGATACCGCCATTACCCTATTCACGAACGCTCTCCGAACGGGGGAGTTATACAAGGATCTGAAGAAAAATCCGGGTACAACATACGCCGAGGTATTAGACAGGGCTCGCAAGCATGCCGCCCTAGAAGAGGAGATAATGATCAGGGATAAGGTCATTGCGCCTGCTGCCCCGATCAGAATGGCTGATCGACTGGGTCCTAGCCCAGCGGCCGCTATACCTCCCAAGCAATGGAGATTCACTCCCCTGGTCCTACCAGTAGCGACCATTTATCAGCACGAGAGGGACAATATTCCCCTCCCGACTGATTCTGCACAGTTTATGGGAGCGGATGACTCTGCTTTCTGTAAATATCACAACAGGAAGGGTCATGCCACCAACGCCTGCAGGGCCCTACAAACAGCCATCGAGGATTTGATCCGACGGGGTCATCTGGGCAAATATGTGAATAAGGATCCAAATGATGTGGGCACGTTGAAACCAATCAGGAAACCTAATAGCTGGCGCCAGGATGCCCAACGTGATGCCCGGCCTCAAAATGACGTATATGTTTCCCCCAGGGATGAACCAGATGGCTCGGGAGGCCCTGCAAAGAAACCTCGAATGGAGGTCAAGGTTATATTCGGGGGCGGGGAGACAGGGGATTCGAACGCCGAACGGAAAAGGTTCGAGCGAAGTCTCTATGTGGGATCCATCTCCGCTCCCCCCAGAAGAAAGGAAGGACAGACCCGATCACGTTCGGGCTAGCTGATTTACCCAACTCTCCAAGCCCGCACAGGGATGAATTGGTGGTGAGCATGTGCATTGACAATGCTTTGATCCGCCGAGTACTGATCGATACCGGGAGCAGTGTGAATGTATTGTATCTACAATCATTCGAAAAAATGGGTCTACAAAGAAGTCAACTGACCCACCTACGAACCCCACTGGCAAGTTTCACCGGCAATTGCATTGAGGCTGAGGGTACCATCCAATTGATGGTTGAAATTGGGGATGAAACGCACAAAGCATCACTCCGAATGACGTTCGTGGTGGTGGATATAAAATGTGCCCACAATGCCATATTGGGCCGACCGGGATTGGAAGATCTGGAGGCAATAGCCTCTGTCCGCCACTCATGCATCAAATTCCCTACTGACACCGGGGTTGGGGTGGCCAGAACTGATCCGACGACAGCCCGGACATGTTATCGAGAGGCCCTAAAACAGATGAACACTCGTGGGATGCGGGTTAATACAATTGAGGTGGAAACCCACCGAACGGAGTTCGAGGCACACCCAGAACCCGCCACTCTTCTTGAACAAATCGACCTGGATTTCCCCCCGAACCGTAAGGTAGCTATCGGGGTAGATCTGGAGGCTGACATCCGGGATGGCGTGATTGCCGTCCTAAAAAAGTTCCAGGTATTGTTCGCCCGGGGGCCAGAAGATATGCCCGGTATTGACCCGGAGATAATATGTCACAAACTTGCCATTCGGCCTGATGCAAAACCAGTCTAGCAGAAGAAACGATATCAAGCAACCGAACGGCGGGAATTCACAAAGCGGGAGGTGGCCACCTTGCTGAAAATAAAGCACATCCGTCCAGTAATCCACGTAGAATGGCTATCGAATGTGGTTCTAGCCCCAAAACAAACTACTTGGAGAATGTGCGTGGATTACTCGGATCTGAATAAAGCTTGCCCCATGGACCCCTTATCCAGTACCGAGGATCGATCTGCTAGTAGATGAAACTGCCGGATGTGAATTGCTGAGCTTCATGGATGCTTTCCGGGGTTACCATCAGATATTCATGCACCCGGCTGATGCAGAGAAAACGGCGTTCGTTATTTCGGATGGTGTGTTTTGCTATATCGTCATGCCATTCGGATTAAAGAACGCAATGGCAACTTTTCAAATGATGATCGGGATGCTGTTCAAAGAAGTGTTGGGGGTCACAATGGAAACTTATGTTGATGATATCCTGATCAAAAGCAGGAAGAAGGAAAATCATGTCCTGGACATAGAAAATGTGTTCGGGATAATGCAGAAAGCAAACATGAGGCTGAATCCCAAAAAATGTGCTTTTACTGTAAGAGGGGGCAAATTTTTGGGATACATGATGAGCGAGAAGGGGATTGAGCCCAATCCTGAAAAGGTAAAGGCAATTGTGGATATGGAGGCTCCAAGAAATCTCAAAGAAGTGCAGAGATTGACCGGTCGGTTAGCAGCCCTGAGCAGATTCCTATCCAAACTAGCCGATCGAGCTATTCCATTTTTCCAGATCATGAAGAAATCCAACCCCTTTGAATGGACGGCCGAATGTCAAACGGCTTTTGAAGATTTCAAGACATATCTATCTTCCCCCCTGGTCTTGACAAAACCCGAACCAGGGGAACATCTATATATGTACCTTGCTGTAGCTGACCTGGCCGTGAGCACAGTACTGTTGAAAGAAGAAGATTGCGTTCAACGGCCAATCTATTTTGTAAGCAAGGTTTTGAACGGCCCAGAAACCAGATACACCTTGCTAGAGGAAACTGTGCTGGCCCTGATAGCTGCCATTAAACGTCTGGCACCATATTTCCAGACCCACCCGGTAACTGTGTATACTACTCAGCCACTAGCCACCATCTTGAGAAATCCTATGGCAAGTGGACGCATTACCAAGTGGAGCCTCCTGATCGGGCAATATGAGGTGGATTTGAAGCCTCGGCCTACTATCAAAGGACAGGCCCTAGCAGATTTCATTGCAGAATGTACCGCCCGGCCCTCAGAAACAGACTCAGAGAACAATGGGCTGGATAACTGGTGGGAAATGTATGTGGATGGTGCAGCTAGTGCCAAGGGTTGTGGAGCTGGAGCTGTGATCACATCACCCGAGGGGTTCAAAGCATATTATTCTATCCACTTTGACTTCAAGGTAACCAACAATGAGGCTGAATATGAGGCCCTCATTGCTGGTTTTAAATATGCAAAGGCCCTGGGTGCCGATCGGTTAAAAGTCCGGTCGGATAGTCAATTGGTAGTACATCAAGTAAACGGCACTGCTGAGGCTAAAGAAGAGAGAATGAAGGCTTACAAGGAGATAATTGAGGAGCAGATAAGTAAATTTGAACAGGTGGTGCTCGACCAAATATCCAGGATAGAGAATACTGAAGCAGATATCCTATCCAAGTTAGAAAATGCAGCGTTCGACGATCGGGCACAGGAAATCCCGGCTCATATCCAACGTTTCGCCCATCGGGAAACATTGGCAACCCCAACAATCATGGTACTCCAGATCGAGG